ACGCAGCACGTAAAGCCAGGCATAGCTGCGACGCGCGGCCCGGCCCACCGGCCTCTTGCGCTCTTCGACGGCCGGGTCTGGCCCCCGCCTCAGCTTCTCGACGGGCGGCGCCGCGCGAGTCCCTTAGAGGCCTCTCACTATTGCCGCCCGGCGCAAGTCGTCCCGGGCGGGGGCCCCGTGCCTAGAATATGCTTGCTGACCGCCCGCGCCGCGCTACCCACCCGGCCGCCCGCCTGCGCTCCGGAGTCGGCCCGGGGGACGCCGCGAAGGACCGCCTGGAAAGGGGGACTACGCCCCCCACAATGCACCGCGCCAAAAGCAGCTCACTTCCGGGACGGGGGCGTGCTTATTCCGGCTGCTTTCCCCGGCACCTAGACATCCTGCTCAGATCTGATTACTTTCGAGATAAGGCTCATCCTAAGCGGAAGAGAAAAATGTATTCGAATGGAACGTTGTCGCATGGACTATCCCTCTCAAGGACCCGGAATCCTGATGGTACGGGGCTCGTGCCTCGAAAGCGCAAGCGCTCTGGGTATAAGCACACAGAGACTACAAGTTCCATGCTGCCTCAGAAAACGTTGCTTTTGCTGCCGCGGGCCACAGCGCCGCATAAAGGAGAGGCGGAGTTTCTGCAGGCCAGGATTTGAGGGAGGTTCTGCAGCCTGCTCTAGAATTTCCCCAACCCCAGGGCCCTCTGATGTCACTTTCTCATATTGGGGTCACTCTTCTCTCACCTACCTCCTACTTTGACTCACTGTCTTAAACCAGGTGCCTAATAACTGCCTACTATGTCCCAGAGTGTAGAGAACACAGTGAAGGTAGTTTTGAGCACTCAGACCTACCTAGTCCTCTCTCTCCTGGAGACTGACTAAAGTGTCTTTTGGATAATGGATAACCATGCGCTAATAAATATCTAGTAATGAATAAATGCCACAAAGGAATCAGCCTAACAAAGAATAGGACATCCAAAGAACCTCTATAATAATAATCAAACATTATAAAAGAGTAGTATCAGAGCCGGGTGTTGGTGACACACGCCTTTAATCCCAGCACTTGGGAGGCAGAGGCAGGTAGATCTCTGTGAGTTCGAGGCAAGCTTGGTCTGCAGAGCGAGCGCCAGGATAGGCTCCAAAGCTACACAGAGAAAAAAAAAAAAAAAGAGTAGTATGAGTGCTTGGTCTCCCAATGGCCCTACCTTGGAAACTGTTGGGCACTGAGACAAGAAGGATATAAACCTGACATTTAAGTGACTAGAAAGGGCAGCCAGGTTAGAAGCACTGAATGATTACAAACTAACATTGATAGAGAATTCGGGAATTCATTCAGCAGGCAAACAGAAAATTGAAGGGTTTTGGATGAAAACAGACAGTAGTTGGTCTTCCCACAGTGCAGTAACAACAGCCTGGTGATGCAGACCTGGAATGCTGGTTAGTTGAGAAGGTGAAACAGGACCAAGTTCAAGGACAGCCTGGGCAATTTAATGAGTTCCTCTCTGGAAAGAAATAAAACATCTGAGAGAGTTAAGTAGTAAGGCACTTGCCTACCACAAAGCAGGCCCCTAGAAACAAAAACAAATAACAACAAAAACAGTTCAAAAGCCCATACATCACCATTATATTTCTTGGTTATTTGTGTAGGTTTTGCTTACTATTTTCCTGGGCTATGCAAACAGGGCCACAGCTGGAATCTCTTCATATCCAAAATGTATAATTACCTATGTGTGTATATAGTAGGATGAAAGGTATGTATTCATTAGTCAAATCTTTTTTTTTTTTTTTTTGATTTTTCTCTGTGGCTTTGGAGGCTGTCCTGCAACTTACTCAGCTGACCAGACTGGTATTGAACTCAGAGATCTACTTGCCTCTGCCTCCCAAGTGCTGGAATTAAAGACATTTCAATACCCCTCCAACCCCAGTTGATGGTTCACAATTTTAATCCCAGTATTCAGGAGGCAGAGGCAGGTTGACCTCTGAGAATTCAAGACCAGCCTAGTCTACATAGAAGATCCTGTATCTAAACAAACCAAATGGTATAAATATTATTTATATATGAATATTGTCATATATATTTTTTGTTTTGTTTTTGAGAAAGGGTTTCTCTGTGTAGCAGTCCTGGCTGTCCTGGAACTCAATTTGTAGACTAGGTTGGCCTTGAACTCACTGAGATCTGCCTGCTTTAATCCCAGGTGCTGGAATTAAAATAAACCAGCACCACCCAGAATATTGTGGTATACATTTTTTAAATTATTTTTATTGTATGTGTATTGGTGTTCTGCCTGCATGTATGTCTGTATGAGGGTGTCAGATCTTGGAGTTACAGACAGTTGTGAGCTACCATGTGGGTGTTGGGAATTGAACCCCGGGTCCTCTGGAAGAGCAGTGGGTGCTCTTAACAGCTGAACCACCTCTCCAGCCTCATGGTATACATTTATTTTACATTTATTAGTTTTTTAAGTTAGCATTCAAAGTAATGGGAGGCATTTTTATACATACATATCATTACATGTTCTGTGGTCTGTGTGTATGTTTAGGGGATACAGTTTGTGTTTGTGCATGTTCATTCGCGTGCCTGTGAGTGTGTGTGGGGGCCAGAGGTTGAAGGCAGGGTATTAATGAGTTCACTAGACCCAAGATAAATGATAAATGGGTGTTTTATTGGGGAACAACTTACACAGATAATTGCAAAGAACTGCTGCAGCGTTCCTGCTCCAAAAGATGCAGTCTCTCCCCTTCCAATGGTATCCTCGACCCAAAAGAGTGACTTCCCTCTGTAGGGAGACACTGTAACCATGCCTCCTAAGGGCTGGCTACAGGGACAGGCGTGGTCAAGGGGAGGTCATGATGACAAATGTTAGGTTCTTAAAGGCCTGCAGACATGTGGGGTTCCCTTCTCTCTCGTGTCCCTGCCTTGCTGCCTCTGGGTATGCTCTGGCTTGCACTTGGCTGGTATTTATCTGAATAAAAGTATTTTCAGCCTGGCGTTGGTGGCACACGCCTTTAATCCCAGCACTCGGGAGGCAGAGGCAGGTGGATCTCTGTGAGTTCAAGGCCAGCCTGGTCTCCAGAGTGAGTGCCAGGGTAGGCTCCAAAGCTACACAGAGAAATCCTATCTCAAAAAAACTGGGAAAAAAAAAAAAGGTATTTTGGATCTACAAGCCCTCTCCTTCATCCCTGTGCTTCTCTACCTTCTAGTCATGTCCCTACCTGAAGCCCGGGCCAAAAGGGTGTGGCCACTAACACAAATTCCCTGGCAAGATTCTACTACAATTCCCCTTTTAGTCTAAAGAAGGTTTTAAGCCTGCTGCAAAAACTATATACAATGATAGCCAAGGTCAAGTATATTCCAGGAAAGGTAAAACCATACATAAATTAAAACCTACAACCAGCAAGAGCAACGTTGAGCAATCGACACATACTACATATCCAGTATCAGCGTAATGGCATGACAAAGATTACTCCAATAGAAGTCCTAATCTGGAAAGTCTAAGTCTTGTACCAAGTATTATCTGTATAAGATAAGAGAGAATATAGTTGTGGCTGTCTAGTCTTCAACCTCATCAAAGACCTGAGAAGGAAAATAACATTACTAGGATAGGCAGGAAGTGTGAGCCTGTGACTTCCAGAAGGTGAAAGCAAAGACAGAAACAGCAGACAACCTGGACAGTCATCTAAGGTCTCACAGGAATATCAGGGTGACCAGTTTATGGTAAGGCCTAATGTATCAGACAGACCATCTCAGAAGCAGGAAAAGACTGTCTTACCCTGACTTGGCAAGGTTCAGCAGTCTTTTTAAGTTTATCTCCTGCTAGCCCAGTTAGGACATCGTATCCAAAGTCCGTGGTTGAGGTGGGGTCAGTTCTATGCCCAAAAGGCCAGTAGCCAAGTAGAGAATGAACTCCAAATGGAGTGACATCGGTGCCCGTCATATTGTTGGGAATAGCTCGGTGCTGTCAATTTTGGGTAACATTGCTCAGGAGCCCAACACCTTTTCTTTTTAAGGCTGGCCAGCCAATGAGCGGCAGGATTCCACACGTGGGTACCTCCTGAGCACTGGAATTATAGGCACCATGCTTAGCTTTTTTTCCCCAGTATTTTATTTTTACTTCATGTGTATTGGAATGAATATCTGTATGAGGATGCCGAGTCCTCTAGAACTGAAGTTAAAGACAGTTGTAAGGCACCATGAAGGTAATGGAAATTGATCCCAGGTCCTTTGGAAGAACAGTCAGTGCTCTTAACCACTGATCCATCTCTCCAGCTCCCTCATGCTTGGTTTCTTACTTGAATAAAGAAAGATCACATTGATTCAAATGTACAGAGCATTGAGGAAGATGCTTACTTAGACTCTACCTTTGGTACTAAAATAACCTTTAGTAGATACTTACACACACTCAAATAAGTTGAAAGTATTATTTTGTAGTATGTGGGGGACCAAATAATTGTTATGAAATATTTTGGAGCCCAGCCTTCAGCTTCAATAAACATGGAGCACCGGAAAGCTCCGGCCCACTATTGTATTGCTAATGGCAGTAGGGCAACTATTGTTTACCATGGTCTCAGGGTAATATGCCTCCTAATTTGCATCTCTATGCGCCTAAGCATCTGAATAAGCCTGCACCTGGGTAGGGGGGCTAGAGCGAATGCCAGGATAGGCTCCAAAGCTACACAGAGAATGACTCTAGGCCAGGCGTTGGAGGCTGTCCTGGAACTTGCTCTGTAGACCAGGCTGGTCTCGAACTCACAGAGATCCGCCCGCCTTTGCCTCCCCAGTGCCGGGATTAAAGGAGTGCTCCACCTCTGCCTGCAATCCTTAATTTTTTTCCGTGAAGAAACCATGAGGTTTGAACCGGCTACATGCTTTTGCCCAGGTTTAATGTGAGTGGGCCTCCAAAACCAACTTGCAATCACCTTAGACCCGGCTCCCAGCTGTAGGACTACAGTTCCCGTGGGGCTATGTGGCGGCATCGCGAGACTTGACTCGAAAGAGGCGGCGGGAATGCGTCTCTTGCGGCAGCTGCAGCAGTTAGGAGGGGTGGATCCCGAGGATGGCCGGTCGCTACAGTCCGGACCCGGATCAGACGCCGCGCACGCTCCTGCGGCGCGTGCTGGATACAGCGGACTCGCGCACCCCGAGGCGACGACAGAGCGTTCGAAATAAGTATGTGAGAGTGATGACTGAGCAACTAGGGTGACTGGCGAGTTTCGGCTGTGCCTGTCTGGAAAGGAAAACCGGGACTAGGTAGATCTGACTACACCCTAATCGAATGGAACTCTGCTAAGCTGTTGTACTCTTACCCGTGCAGCTCCACAGAGACCAACAGTGCTGGACCTCTAGAAACAAAGAATAAGGCTCTGTTTTCTGGGCTGTCTCACTCTACCCAGACCCAGGCTTCCAGATGACTTCCCCTTTTCCAGCACAGCCCTATCCTCTGCGGCCCACAGGGGCGGTCAGGAGGCAGGAACTGGAAGGATGCCTTTCTAGAGAACAGGGCTTTGTCTTGAGGAGGCTTGGCATCTGTCCGTCTGAAAGAATGCCGTCCTTTTCCAGAGGAGAGTTGTTCATGATAAGGCTTCTTTTCCCCCATGGTACTAGTGATTAATCCCAGGGCACCCTATCACCGAGCTGCATCTCCAGCACTCGTAGTATCTGAGACATGGCCTTGGCTTGTCTTGAAACTGTAGCCCAAACAGTCTTTGAACTAGCCATTCTCCCGCAAGCGTCCCCCTGGCAACTGGGATTAGAGGTTTGATACCACCTGGTCCTTCCTCATTCAGTATGTGGTATTTATTTTGTATTTATTTACTGTTTGTGTGTGAGTGTGTGTGTGTGTGTGCATAGGTCAGAAACGTGCAGTCAGTTGTTGCTTTCCACCGGGTGGGTGAACTCAGGATGTCCCTCTTGGAAGCAAGTGCATTTACCCACTGAACATTCTGGCCAGCCCCTCTGATGTGTTTTACACCTAAGAGTATGAGATGGGAAGTGTGCCTGTGGAACACTGAGACACACTGTACTGGAGAAATAGGGCTAGGGTGACCCATGTAGAACTTATTGTCACACCTTGACAACAACTTGAAAGGTAAAAGGTACTTTAATTTCCTACTTGAATTTTTTTTTTTTTTTTTCCGAGACAGGATTTCTCTGTAGCTTTGGAGCCTATCCTTGCACTCGATCTGGACCCCGGGCGGCCCTCGACCCCACAGAACCCCCCCTGCCTCTGCCTCCCGAGTGCTGGGATTAAAGGTGTGCGCCACCAATGCCCAGCTCATCTACTTCCTTCTTGACAAAGCTGGAATAGGGGCTATGTAAGGGCAAGCATCTGCATACTCTAGATCCTCACTCCCACTCCCTACATGTGATCTCAAAGCCCCTTTTTGTTGTTACACAGTGCACAGAGATCTCTGCTTCAAATACCTTCTTCCTCCAAGAGGCAGAGTAGCCAAACAAAAATAGTTGCCAGGAGGCATTCCTATATAACTAGGGTAAGTGTCCTGCTCGCTCCATGAGTGATTTCTTGGAGCACTGAAATAAAGTCTATTTTTGTTTTGAAGCCTAACTTGATGGGTTCTCCAGGCAAAAATACTGACAGGTGGTGCTTTCCCCCCAGTCAGTTGTCAGATTGGCTCGTGTTCAAACCCATGGGCACCTGGAAGAACAGACACCCCGGACCCTGCTGAAGAACATCTTACTAACTGGTAAGTGGATGTTAGCCTACCAGCTAAAGTTAGGTGTTAGTCCAATAGCCAGTCCTATGGTACCTTCGTTCTTATCCTTCTTTGTTAGAGCCTTACCCTCTCCTTGTTATTGCTATAGCCCCAGAATCTTCTATCGTGATGCCAGACTCAGTGGTGAAGCCAGTACAAGTACCAGAGATGGTGGAGTCTTCCAAATGGGAAAGCAGCCCGGGAAGGTACACAGTGAAATTCCCTCATAGGCTGAGCCACCTCTTGGGGTCCCCAGAAAATAAAATTGGGCTTTCTGACATGTCTGAGATAAACTCCATCCTTATAGCCTGGAGCTGCAACTTCCTGAACTGGAATACCCCTCAACCCTAGCTCCAGGTCTGCCAGCCACTGGCAGAAGCAAGCAAAGGCTGAGATTGTCAGTATTTGAGCAGGAAGTGAATCAGCGGCTGCCTCTCTCCCAAGGTGAGTCCTAGGACACACCTGTGCTGTTCTTTCCTGTCTCTCCTCTGGCGAGGTTGAAGAGATCTGAGTTTTCATGGGGCTGAGTAACTCACTATGGATTGTTCTTTTTACACTGTCTTCATGGGCGCTGACAGAGCCACCTGGGAATGCTGATGCTTCATCCTTGACCAGGTACTGTTCCCTGTTCTGGGGTTTGATAGAGCAGAGGCTTGAAAGGGGGGTGTTGACTGATGGAATCTTGTGATAGGCTTACTGTTAGTTTTAGACTTACAGCATGGGGCCATAATCTAGGAGGTGAGCTCCTATGGGAAGTGTCTCAGGCTTTCTTTGTATCTACTTTGGTTTTTTGTTTGTTTTGTTTTGTTTTTTTCAAGACAGGGTTTCTCTGTAACAGTCCTGGCTGTCCTGGAACTCACTTTGTAGATCTGGCTGACCTTGAACTCACTGAGATTTGCCTGCCTCTGTCTCCTGAGTGCCACCACCACTCAACTCTGTCTGTTTCCATCTTAACAGCTCCTTCAACCTCAGCTTTGTCCCACCTTGTCAGTCACAGTCAGTGGGGAGACCTGGTCTGGCTCGCAGACGTCCCATTCGCCGGCCTGTGGATGTAGGTGTTCTTTTGCAGGATCTAGAAGATAATTCCTTGACCACAGCTCTTCCAGGTAATGTTGAGATTCTCATTTCTAGCTTTAGAGAGAAGCCACCACTCTGAGAGACAGGAGGCTTTACTGAGTTCAGGGTTGCTCCAATTTTGGCAATGTCAAGGACACTGTATGAGCCTGGCAAGGCATCTATAAAGAATTTCTGCTTTCTTTGCTAAGTGCCCCTGTATTTGTCAGGGTTCTCTAGAGGAACAGAACTTAGAAAATGAGAGTATGAATATATAATATGAATAAGAATATAATGAAAATATATATATACGTATATACATATACATATACATATACATATACATATACATATATATATATATATATATATATATATATATGGATTTATTAGAATGGCTTACAAGCTGTGGTCCTGCTAGCCAACAGTGGCTTTTACCAAAGGAAGGTCCAAGAATCCACTAGTTAAGTCCACAAGGCTGGATGTCTCAGCTGGCCTTCAGTATGTGCTGGAATCTCAAGGAAGTAGGCTTCATTGCCAGTGAAGGAGTGTGTGTGTGTGAGAGAGAGAGGGAGAGAGAGAGAGGGTTTTAGTTAATTCCAGATGGAGTTAAGCTGATAACCAAGCATAGCCATCACAGCCAAGAAGCTTGGGAACCTTCCACAAACTTGGAAGGCAGAGGCAGGCAGGTTTCTCTTAGTTTGAGGCCAGCCTGGTCTACAGAGCAAGCTCCAGGACAGCTAAAGCTACACAGGGAAACCCTGTCTCAAGCAGAAAAAAAATAAAAGAATAACCTAGCCTAAGTATCTCTGTGTCTTCCATTATTTTATATTCTTTTTTTTTTTAAGATTTATTTATTTATTACATATACAGTGTTCTGTATGCCAGAAGAGGGCACCAGATCTCATTACAGATGGTTGTGAGCCACCATGTGGTTGCTGGGAATTGAACTCAGGACCCCTGGAAGAGCATTCAGTGCTCTTAACCTTGAGCCCATCTCTCCAGCTTCTTACTTTATATTCTTGAACTACAGAGCTGAGAGTAGAAGGAAAAGGGTATACTATGGTGGCTAGAGCTTGTTAAGAAAACAGGTTTCATGATCAGGTAGCACTAACCTGGGATCCTGATTCCAGAGTACAAGTTCAGTAATGTTTGACGAAAAGTGCTGAATAGAGGAAGTAGTAGACAGTTGAGGCATGAGTAAGCAGTTTGGGGGGGGGGTGGAAGCAGGTTAGAGAGGCCTGAGAATGTCAGAGGGAGGACCAGGAGGAGTAGCAAGGAGGACAATGGAAGATAAAGACTTAGAATGTAAGTTATCTCATTCTGGAGGTCACATAGTCAGAGAAGACCCTCATGTCTCACTGACTGCACCTTCACAGTATTAGCAAGTGGGCCTAAAATATAGACTATCTGGCTCTTGTTCTCTAGGTGACAACTATAGAACCCCTGTTGCTACTCTGCCAACGGATGCAGTGTTGGAAGACACCCAGCCTTTCTCACAGCCTTCAGTTGGCTGCTCCCTTAGAGTGTATCATTCTCTGCCCAGCCCTTCTCACTCTGAGGTTAAAGGTGCTGAAAGAGTTGTGGGCCGAAGGACACAAAGCACTGGGACTGGGCTGGAGAAGCACAGTGAGTATGGGGGCAGCTGGCCTGGAGCCAAGCTTATCCTGGGTGAGAGTTAACATAGGTAGATTTCCTTCCTCCAACCCCTATATGTGCCCCAGAACCCTTGCCTTAGGAGTTCCTCCTCTACCCAAGAGCAGAGTCAGGGCTGGGCCAGGAGATCCTAAGTCAGTGCTATGGTGCTGCCTCATCTTGTTCTCCCCTCAGTGAGCAGAACTAGCCTTGGTACTACTCCTTTACCCTTCTCCAAGCTACAGCCTCAGCCTCCAGAAATAAGAGAAGCAGTGGGATCCCAGGAGGCTGTGGAGGCCAAGGAGCAAGAAGGATCTTCCAGGGATGAGGATACTCCTGGCAGGCCAGGTAAGAGGCCTAGTGCAGGCAGGCATCAGCAGGTGAGTGTCACTAACTTGTTAGGTCCTACCATACAGAAGAAAATTTGCCTGGGCTATTTCTAGGATCTGGTAGTTTTAGAGGCCAGGGAGAGTATAAGGGGCAATCACTTATCTAGAATTAAGAAAAGGGCCGGGTGTTGGTGGCACATGCCTTTAACTCCAGCACTCGGGGAGGGCAGAGGCAGGCGCATCTCTGAATTTAGGGCTAGCCTGGTCTACAGAGCGAGTTCTAGGACAGGCTCCAAAACTACACACAGAAACCCTGTCTTGAAAAACAAAAAAACAAACGAAAAAAGAATTAAGAAAAGGAAGCTGGGTGGTGGTAAGTAGGCCTTTAATCCCAGTACTCAAGAGGCAGAGGCAGATGGGAGAAGAAGAAAAAAGAAAAGGAGACTAGACCTGTACAGTGTGATGTGAGATGGTTGAGCCTGAACCCCTTGTGACACTACTACTCTTTCTTTGCAGCAAGTCCAGAGTTAGCCGCTGACACCTATAACTTACTCCAGGCTGAGCAGCCACATCAGTCTCTCCAGCCGCCACCACCACCTGGAGTTGCAGTGTAAGAAACCCCTGTTGTTGGGAAGGGGATGTCCTGAAGCTGAGATTGTACATATTTAAGTCCTCCTAGATTTGCAAATGATTGCCAAACATAGCAGCTCAAGCCTGGTAGTGATAGCTTGCCTATGTGTCATCCTGGTACCTGTCTCCAGGAGTGTGGAAGAGCCTGGGGGAGGGAGAAGTTCCTAGGTCAGTATATAATCATAGAAGGCTTCGTGAAGGACATTATCAGGTAGTGATGGATTTTTCACGGGGAGAGACTATCCAATTTAAGACCTTGTTGAGGTTTAACAAGCTTGCAGAGGTACCTGAATATATGTTGAAGTTAGTCTAGGATATTGAAGGATCAGGGTCACAGGGAAAGAACAGGTCTTTTGTTTGTTTGTTTTGAGACAGGGTTTCTCTCTGTAGCCCTGGATGTCCTGGAACTTGCTCTGTAGACCAGGCTGGCCTGGAATTCACAGAGCTCTACCTGCCTCTGCCTCCCCCCCCCCCAAACCCTGGCTGATGGATTTCTTGTTCAATCTACTTAATGAACAACAGTCCCAGTTTCAGCAGAGCCAGCAGGACTTGTCCTCTAATACGGGCCTTACCAAACAGCAGTTCGGTTACCTCTGTCTTCTCCTGTCCTCAGTTCAGAGCCCCTGGAGTCTGTGCCGGCCAGGCTTCCATCCAGGACCCAAACTGTAGGTCCCAGGCATCACCAAGACCCCTATAAGGCTGGACTGAGCCACTATATGAAGCTCTTTAGCTTCTATACTAAGATGCCTGTGGAGAAGAAGGCTCTTGAGATGGTGGAGAAGTGGTGAGTCTAGTATGTGAGTGGGTAGAGGTGCTGTTTCATAAGCAGACTATTAATCTGCTCTATGACAATCTTCTTGGTAGCCTAGACAAGTATTTCCAGCACCTTTGCAATGACCTGGAGGCATTTTCTGCTCATGCTGGCCGTAAGACTGTGAAGCTAGAGGACATGGAACTGCTGTTGCGACGGTAAGGAGGCATAAAAGGGAGGCTGAGTGTGGAGTGCTAGTGCTGATTCTGACTGACCTTTTCCTCTGATACAGGCAGGGACTAGTCACTGATCAAGTCTCACTGCACGTGCTTGTGGAGCGGTATCTACCCTTGGAGTACCGGCAGCTACTTATCCCCTGTGCATTCAGTGGCAATTCAGTCTTCCCTGCCCAGTAGTGGCCAGGCTTTAACACTTGCCCTCTCCCTACCTTAGACACCTTGGACCTACACCATCATCAAGGTTTCCTTCTCCTAGCAGCAATAAAATCTCACAAATGGGTTCTGCTTTTTGTGCATGTCTTAGGGTCTTCCCAGATCATCTTCCCACACACCCCAGCACTTGACTTTCCAGCCCAGCCTGTAAAATATAAATTTATATATATACTTTATACTGGAAGTTTAGCAACATTGGTATACTTAAGTTGTCCATGGAGGTTCTAGCTTGCTGGTTCTGGCTCTCGAAGTCCTACACGTTTGGTGTCTGCTATCCGAAGCTGTTCAAGTGCAGTCTCAAGTTTTACCACAATTTCCTCCTGCTTCTCTTCATCCTCCAATGGCAGTTCTGCCACAGGGAGCTGAAAGGCCTGGCTCAGGTAAGTACACAGTGTCTGCTTGTCCAAGCTGGGATCGATGTTCATCAGGGCCACACGCATCTTCGATAGGCTCACCTCATCAGTGCTGCTCACAAGGAAAGAAAGAGATTTACTGGTTGAGCTCTTCTGTCCGTACCCTGACTCTGAGGTGCCCACATTTCTGTCACGTTTGAGTAGTTTGTAGTACCCAGCTTCCTTTCCCGTTGCACAGGGAGACTCAGCACCTGAGATACTATCTGATAGGGCCTGTCCCACCTGTGGGATTTGCCAGTGGCTCAGTGGGACTTTGGGTCCCGGGGTCACTCACAGCTCCTGGCCCAGATCCTCCTTCAATTCTTGTAAGTATGCTTCCTTTTCACTGTCATACTGTTCCCACAGCTTCTGCACGAATGGCTCGCTTTGCCCCTCCTCATCCTATAGGGTAGGGTATGGGAGAAGGCAGGGTGAGGCCATATTGACCATGGTTTAAATTAGACAAGGAAGGGATTGGCAAGTTATGTGTCCCCTCCTACCTCGGTAAACAATGTTCGGTAGTTGAACATTTCTACATTGTTGATGTCTGGACTCCAGCCTGCTGCCTCAATTAGCTCCTGGATTTGCTCTTCCTTCTTGAGAGGAAAGGTGGTCTTGAGGATGGTGCTATAGGAAAGGAAGAATCCCAACAGGGCCTGACTGACTGAGGCAGTCCACTCACCTTACTGTCTCTCCTGGGCCATCCCCACTAGAATCCCAACAGGGTTTTTGTTTTTGAGAGTCTTTGAACTCATAACCATCTTCCTGCCTTAGCCAAACTTTTTTTTTGTTGCTTTGATTTTTTTAATTGGTTTTTGAGAAAGGGTTTTTTTCAATGTCAATCTGGTTGGCCTGCAACTTACTCTGTAAACCAGGATGGCATCAAAATCACAGAGATACTCCAGCCTCTGCCTCCCATGTGCTGGAATTAAAGGTGTACACTACCATGCCTGGCATGTTTTGAAACAGAGTTTTTTGTTTTAGGCTGGCCTAGAATTAAATGACTCTCCTGCTTTTATCTATCAAGGGCTAGAATTCCCGGCATGTGCCACTGCACCTGTGAGGACAGCAGGCTTTGAGGCTGTGACCCTTCCCATGAGTTAGTTGTCCCTTTTTCCAGCATACCTGAGAACCTAACCACCCAGGATAATGGACTAGAGTTTGGAGTGGCTTGACTAGCCGCTTACCTGAACTGCTCCATGGTTATTAACCCCTCGTTCTGAGTGTCAATATTTGTCATCTCCTTCATCAGATGGGACATTGTCTCCCTTTGGTTGATATATACAGTCTCCTTCCTCTACAACAAGGGGAGCAGTTACTAATATGCTGCTTACTTGAGTGGTGGGGCAGAGCCATTCTGTGCTGGGGACAAAAGCTCTTTCTATTTGATTGAGGATAACAGGTAGGGCCCAGGCCAAAGCTCACCTTTCCCATCAACACTGCATAGAACTGATTCATGACTTCAATAGAGCGAAAGAGCTTGATATTTTCAAAAATGGTATAAGCCCAGGCTATGGCATCATTGCTCCCAAAGCGTCGCTCCAGAAAGTTGGTGAAGAAATCTTGGAATGACTCTTTCTGTAGGGTGAGAATACTTGGTCAGCATGTCCCAGACTTGCTTAGCCCCCACCCTGCTCCCTATCACCTTGAGGGAACTCCTTAAATGACTGGGATCTGAAAGCTACACAGAGGCAATGTATTATAAACAGTGAGAGCTGACCTGCTCCTGTGCGAGACGCTCCTTCCAGGCATCCTCAAGAATATTTACCACTTCCTTCTTGCTTGGCTTCTTGTTCTCCACAGGGCCATCAAAGCGAAGGAAGGCAGGGACAGATTCTTCCAAGCCCTGAAAGGCAGGAGTCAGCTCACAACTGGACTCCTCTCTTACCCTGTGTCTAAACAGGAACGATCCCCAGATAGTTCCCCCAGAATCTTAAGTGACTTCCCTACCAGCCCAGGGAAGAAGTCTTTCTCGCGAAGCAGACCGCTGCCAATCTCCTCCAGCAGCACATCCACCAGCTGGTCACTGTTCTTTCCTTCAGCCAGCATTAGCCAGCGTTCTGAGCCCCCTGCTATGATTCCTGCCAGTGGGGGAGAGGAAGCTAGAACCCAGTCCATGTCCTTCAGCAGGCCCTAGGGCCCCTGCAACCATTACCTTCGCATTTGGTCCAGTCAGGTCGAGGTGTGGAGGTGCGCTGAATCTCCTGCAGCTCCGCATAGAACTGGTCCCGCTCCTTCAGAGTGGTCATGTGCAACTGCAGAAGTAACTCATGTTCCTTTCGGACCTCTTCATAATCAGCTTTCAGGCTTTCCAGCTGTAGGCAAGGTGATTGGTCCTAACTTACCCACCTGCCTGACCATACCCTTCCATGTCAAACCCTACCTGCCCACCAGGCACCTGCTCTTGAAGATCCAGGTTGATCTTCTCCTGCTTTTCAAAGTCCCTCCTGGGTACTACGTCTCCAAAGTTGGCTTTCATGGTGTTGAGTTCCATCTGAATGCGGGTCAGGTCTTGTCGAGTCATCTTCAGTGCCAGTGTTAGCTTCACAGGATCCTCTCCCCAAACACCTGCCAGGGTCCCACCAGTCTGTCACCCTGGCGCTGGGGCTTGTCCCAGGGTTGGGTTAATTATTGCTTGGGGCATGTTGTCTGAATAGAATGGCTGCTGTAGGCTCATATATTTGAATACTTGGTCCACAGTTGGTGCAACTGTTTGAGAAGGATTAAGAGGTGTGGACTTGTTGAGGAGTTGTGTCACTGGAGCAGCCTTGAGGTTTTAAAAGACTCGGTGTCATTCCCACTGTGTTCTCAGCTCCCTGATGGTGGATCCATATGGGAACTCTCAACTGCTGCTCCGGTGCCAGGCCTGCTTAACCACTGCCAATGCTCCTGCCATGATGATGATAGACTAATATCCATTTGGGACCCTAGGTCCCAAAGAAATCCTTCCTTCTAGCTGAGCAGTGGTAGTGTATACCTTTCATCTCAGCACTTGGAAGGCAGAGGTAGGCAGATCTCTGAGTTTGAGGCCATACTAGTCACAGAGTCCAGGGTAGTCAGCTAGGGCTACACAGAAAAACCTTGTCTCAAAAAAACAAAACCAAAAAAGGGAAAAATTCCTATAAGTTGCTCTGGTCACTGTGTTTCATCACAGCAATAACTAATATACCTTCTCTGTTTGGGAATCTTTGGGTCTACAGCATCACTACCCTAAGGGTTCAGGCTTAAGTATTGATGTCCAGGACATGTGGTTCCCCAGGTTTCACTTGCTCACAGAGTCTCAGCTTCCAGCAGTGTTAAAGTTTCCTACTTTATTCTGTGATTTTTCAGTCTAGCTTAAAAAGATCCACAGCCTCAGCTAGCGGCCCAGACCTCTCCTACCATATATGGACACAGGATAATAAGATATTAGGAATGTAAATGGTGACAGACAGACTAGCACCTCAGGAGAGAAAACTGGCTTGGATTACCTGGGGACTGGGCTAGTGACATGTCTTCTCGTTGGTATCGCAGCTCATTCAGGTCCCCGATGAGAATCTTGCGGGCATCTCGCTCAGTAAGGTAACGGAGGTACTCCTCAGCCAAGCTCTTCCTCAATTTACTCACCTGCAGGGGTGGGGCAGGGGGTATATAACAGTACTCAGTGGCTTTTGGAGTCCTTATGAGCATCCACACAGGGGTGATTACTGCTTGGTTGTTGCCTGAGCTTAGGAAAGTGATCATATCTGAGAACCCAGCAAGATGCCAGTGCTTCAACCCATGGAGAGTTTGCTGGCACTTGGTGCCACATTGGAGTCTATGATGAGCACTGCAGCAGGGCACAGTGAAGATAATAGGGGCTCTTGGGGATGGTGATGGCTCCTCCATTCCAGGCAGAAGCATAGATGGGGTTCCGGGTTGCCCGGGTACTATAAACACACCCTGCTCTACAGGTAGAGCAGGAGATTGGGGACTTTGTCAGCACCACCACTTCCATTCACCTCACTCTGCAATGAGATCTTCTCTTCATTCTTTTTATCAATGAGCTTTAGCAAATTCATCTTCTCTTTCTTGAGCAAGGAGATTTCATACCTCTCTTCAGCCCTCATGGCCAGAATCCTCTCACTGCAGTCCTCATTCATAGTGATAATCTTGGCCTTCAGGGGCTCCAGGGCCCGGATTTTCTCCCTTTGGTGGGCTAAGCAAAGACAGGTGGGCTGGATGTGGTGGCACACACCTTTAATCCCAGCACTCAGGAGGCAGAGGCCAGGAGGATCTCTGACTTCTAGACCAGCCTGGTCTACAAATTGAGCTTCAGCACTACATAGAGACCCTGTCTCAAAAAACAACAACAACAACAACAACAACAAAAAAAAAGCTTGGGGGGGGGCATACAGTGAACAAATAGCCAGGAGTCACAGAGCCTAAGGTCACTGGTGTATTTGGGTGTTTTGCCTGCATATATGTCTGTGAAACCTATGTGTGCCTGGTACCTGCAGAGACAGGAAGAGGAGGTCAGATTCCCTGGAAATGAAGTTGCTGTCCTCTTAACTGCTGAGCCATCTCTCCAGTGCCTCCCACACTCTCCACACACTTGTTTTTAAAGGAGAGCAGGGGATGGGGATAGAGCTCCATGGTAGAATGCTGCTTATTATGTATGAGACACTAGGTTCAGTCTCCAACCATGCAAAAGGAAAAGCAAACCAGGGGTTGTGTCATGTTGAGGGTCAGGATTTCTCCCATGGAGAGGTATGGGGTCCCTTCTATTTACTACATATTGCCTCATCATCCTTCTAAAGGGTAGAAAGAGTTAAGGCATGCAAAAAGTGCCTAGAAAGATCAGTTAGTAATAATCAAAAAGTCAGACTAGGGAGCTGGAGAGATGGCTTAGAGGTTAAGAGCACTGACTGTTCTTTTCAGAGGTCCTGAATTCAATTCCCAGCAACCACATGGTGGCTCACAACCATCTGTAATGAGATCTGGTGCCCTCTTCTGATATGCAGGCAGAACAATGTATATATAATAAATAAAATTAAAGGTCTTATCATTTAAAAAAAAAAAAAAGGTCAGACTAGGATACTCTGTATTCATTCCAATTGGGGTCCAGAAGGAAGCTGCCATCTTACCCAGCATCACCTCATATGCATTCTTGATGGAGGATAACAATGGCTTGTATGTCTTGAAATCCTCTATGAAGAACTCGAAGATCTCCCTGTAAGGCTGGCATAAAAAAAGGAACCTATCATAACCTGGCCTATAACCCCTACCCTCAGTGGGCTCAAAAATGTTTCCATATGAGACTACTAGTAACCTATGTCTGGCCTGGTACCACCCAAGTCTCAGTACCATGGAGCTGGAGAGGAAGGACAGGTATAGAAGCCTTGCCTGGTGCTAACTCTGAGGTTTAGCAACCTACCACTGTGGGCCAAACATGCCATTCTGCCTAAGGTGACTCTTGGCTGCCCAGGCAGTCGTCATCTTGCCTACCAAATCTTGTATCCATTAGCCTCTCACTTGTAGCCCCTCTCCATATGTTAAAGTCCTGTGGGAACAGGGTGTTGAAGATTCTAGCTTCATGTTCTGAACTCAAAGTGGAAGAGAGTATTCTCCTTTCTAACTTACATTCAGAAAGATTGTATGTGGGATATGTGTGTTTGTGTGCCCAAAGCCTGGCCCATGGTCAGCGCTCAGTAAATGCTTCAGTCATGTGTAGGTCAGAAGTCTGAGATTCTTTTTCTTTATTACAGAGTCCCTCTCTAATAGGTACCAGAGTGTGGATTGCATCTAGATTGACCATTCTCTCTCTGTTTCTGGGCTAGTTCCTCAAGCTTCTAGTTGTTGCCACCAGGCAAGAGGCTCTGTCACAGGGCATCCATCCCCCTTTTCAAAGAGGAATAGTTAGAAGATGGAGGGGCCACTTCCCCAATGAAGGTCTGAGTTAATCAGTTCTGATGCATGAGGTTTCTTTCCACCCTTGAAATGTTTGGTTTGTGGCTCTGACCTGTAGCCTCAACTCTTGTGCAGAATCCGTGCCCAGGTCCAGCAGGAGGAGCTCCTTGCGCAGGTAATTCTCTAGTTGCTCCAGGTACCTGGGCTTGGAAGTGCCCAGGGGATGCTGCTGCCAGCTACTGCAGAGGATGGGTGGGCTGAGATGTCACTAGCACTCCATGGATTTTGTACTCTTGGTCTGGGACTGCAAACTCCACTAAGCTATATGTCCTGGACCAATACCTAATCTAGAGTAGCCCATCCCCATCAGGCTGGCCCTGGCTTACTTGGTTCGATTCCGGCAGTCTTCTGAACAGGGCTTCCGTTGATATAGAATTGTCTGGCCACTGGTGTATGTTGGCCATGGGGACAGGTGGCCACCCATGGATAACTGAAAGGGCTTAAGGGAGGGACAGCTGAGGTTACTATGGCAATATTACTCCCCCTTCCCTTTTTTGGTATTGTTGAGGATTGAGATATTGTTGAGGACAAGACAGAACTACCTCACTCGTTAAGTAAGGACTATACTACTGAGCTGTATTCACAGCCTCTTCCCTTTCTAATCTTCTGCATCCCTCCACCCACATACCCCCCCTCGCTCTCTCTCTCTCTCTCTCTCTCTCTCTCTCTCTCTCTCACACACACACACACACACACACACACACACACACACACACACACCACAAATACCCCTTGCTAGCCTTACACTTGAGACCTTCTTCCCCCAACTCCTGTATACTGGGATTACAGGTGTGTGTCAGCATAACTAGCTATACAAACATTTTTTTTTTTTTTTTGGTTTTTTGAGACAGGGTTTCTCTGTAGCTTTGGAGCCTATCCTGGCACTCACTCTGGAGACCAGGCTGGCCTCGAACTCACAGAGATCCGCCTGCCTCTGCCTCCCGAGTGCTGGGATTAAAGGCATGCGTCACCAACGCCCGGCTAAACAAACAATTTTAATATGGTCCATAATTAAGATTGTGGTCTTTTGGTTATAGATAGGAATAAATCTCAAATTTTCCTTATTAGCGGTATAAACACAGGTTTAACTGCTCAGAGCCTCAGTCTTTTCTTTTTCCTTCTTCTTTTTTTTTTTTTTCCTTTGGTTTTTCCAGACAGGGATTCTCTGTGTAGCTTTGGAGGCTGTCCTAGCACTTGCTCTGTAGACCAAGCTGGCCTCGAACTCACAGAGATCCACCTGCCTCTGCCTCCCGAGTGCTGGGATTAAAGGTGTATGCTGCCACCACCTGGCCTTTTTTTTTTTTTTTTTTTTTTTTTTTTTTTTTGAGACAGGGTTTCTCTGTGTAGCTTTGGAGCCTATCCTGACCCTCACTCTGGAGACCAGACAGGCCTTGAACTCACAGAGATCCGCCTACCTCTGCCTCCCGAGTGCTGGGATTAAAGGTGTATGCTGCCACCACCTGGCCTTTTTATTTTTTTAATTTATTTATTTTTTTCTTCAAGATAAGGTTTCTCTGTGTAGCCGTGGCTTTCCAGGAACTCACCCTAAACCAGGCTGGCCTGGAACTCTGCCTGTCTCTGTCTCAGTCTTTTCATTTGCAAAGTAGAGTTAATAGTCATCATTCCAATGCACTGAGGGAAGGATGCCATGAGAAAATATAGTGAGTAGTTTATGCACTGTAGTACCTGCTAGGACCCCAGTAAGCATGAGTTGTACTCTTCTGTGGATAAGTCCAAGGGCATTGAATGCCTGCACTATGACAAACAAATGTGAATGCTGAAGAGCCCCAATCCTGACTTTTGGTACAGTATAGCTAAAGAAACAAGAGGGGAGGGTAATTACAGGCTAATACCTAGATGGACAAGACAGAAAAGACTACAGAGATACAATAAATGGAGCCTGAAAAGACTGGGTTGTATCCCTTGTGGGAGGGGGAAGTAGGTGAGGGTCCCCTGGTGAATGGAACTTCATTTTGAACAATTAGTAGATGAATGTGGTAGGAAATAGTATGTGTGGGTTTATTTTTAAAATCTTTTCATGAGGGGCTGGAGAGATGGCTCAGAGGTGAAGAGCACTGGCTACTCTTCCAGAGGTCCTGAGTTCAATTCCCAGCAACCACATGGTTGCTCAGAACCATCCTTTATGAGATCTGGTACCCTCTTCTGGTGTGCAGATATACATGGAAGCAGAATGCTCTATATATAACAAATAAATAAAATCTTTAAAAAAATATTTTCATGAAATTCAACATAGAAAAATATGGTAATTTGATGCAGTCAATCCTATTTTTTTGTTTGTTTGTTTTTTGTTTTTCGAGACAGAGTTTCTCTGTGTGGCTTTGGAGCCTGTCCTGGCACTTGCTCTGGAGACCAGGCTAGCCTCGGACTCACAGAGATCCGCCTGCCTCTTCCTCCCAGTGATGGGATTAAAGGCGTGCCCCACCAATGTCTGGCCCAGTCAATCCTATTTTTAGGATTTCATAAATTCAGTCCTTTATTTGTTCTTTTGGCATTTTGGAGTCCATAGTATATGTCAATCACTGCTGTGTTCTAGAGACACAAGGAAAGGTAGGTATAGGCTGGACTGATGGCTCAGAGGTTAAGAGCAGTGACTGCTCTTCCAGAGGTCCTGAGTTCAATTCCCAGCATCCACATGGTGTCTCAAGACCATCTGTAATGAGATCTGGTGCCCTCTTCTGGCCTGCAGGCTAACATGCAGGCAGAAGACTGTGTACATAATAAATAAATCTTTTTAAAAAATATTTATTTTATGTGCATTGGTGTTTTGCCTTCATGTATGTTTGTGTGAAGGTGTTAGATCTTGGAGTTACAGACAGTTGTGAGCGGCCATGTGGGTGCTGGGAATTGAACCTGGGTCCTCTGGGAGAACAGCCAGTACTGTTAACCACTCAGCCATCTCTCCAGCCCCAATAAATAAATCTTTAAAAAAGAAGAAAAAGAAAAGAAAGCTGGGGACAATGGGAGTGGGATGACAAATGAATTGATAATCACAAGTCACCATGATGTGACTGAACCAATGAAGGTTACACAAGAGCAGGAAGCCTTGCTTGGCATGTGCTGGGGGAGGCTAGTTATAAAGTATAACTCAAATGAGAACACGAGAGAAGCCACAGTCACTTGGAGACAGAGAGTGTGGTGGGGAAGCTACAAAGACTGTTTGGAAAGCACCAACAGCTCAAGGATACAACTTTTCAAGAGTTATGTATAAGGAGCTGATTCCACAGGATAGCTGGGTACCTGAAGCTTCAGTTAAGGAAGGAGGCCTGAGGCAAGGAGTCCAGGCAGTTGGTGCAGAGGGAGACAAATGAAACAACATTGTTACACACAGGGTGATGCCAAATGTAATATTTGAGTTATGGGAAAAATTTTAAACTCCCAAATATCTAAAAACAGGAAATTGTTATACAGCCATAAAATGTTTACAAAGAAGCTTAACATAAAATTTGGGAATAAGCATGACAAGTTAGAGAGCAGAAAATCCAACAGGCAGCTGTGGGCACACTCCTTTAATTCAAGCACTCAGGAGGCCGAGGGGGGCAGATCTCTGTGAGTTTGAGGCTAGCCTGGTCTACAGAGTAAGTTCCAGGACAGCCTAGGCTACACAGAGAAATCCTGTCTCGAAAAACAAAACAAAACAAAACAAAAATAGAGTTATATTTCCCTTTAGTTATGATAGAAAGTAAATTAGGTATTAAACTTTGGAATCACTAAGATAAGGTAGATAATAGAGTATTTTCTCTGAATTTGTTAAACACAAATGAATATTGTAAATGTAATTTTTTTTCCTGAGACAGGGTTTCTCTGTAGCTTTGGAGCCTGTTCTGGAACTAACTTTGTAGACCAGGCTGGCCTTGAACTCACAGAGAACCACCTGCATCTGCCTCCTGAGTGCTGGGATTAAAGGCATGCGCCACCAACTCCCGGCCCTGTTACATTCTTTTATGTTATATTTGCTTAACTCTGTAAAGCTGTGTTACTTTACCTGCCTAAAATACCTAATCGGTCTAATAAAGGGCTGAGCAGCGAATAGCCAGGCAGAAGAGAGAAACAGGTCAGGCTGGAGGGCAGAGAGAATAAATAGGAGGAGAAACCTAGGGAAGAGCAAGGAGTGAGAAAAGGAGGAGAGGAGGATGCCACACAGCCAAACAAGGAGAACAAAGTAAAGAAAGATATATAGAATAAATAAAGGCAAAAGCCCAAAGGCAAAATGTGGTTAAAGGGAAATGGGATAATTTAAGGTAGAAAAGCCGGCTAGAAACAAGTCAAGCTAAAGCCAGCATTCATAAGTAAGAATAAGTCTCAGTGTCCTTAGCTGGGATTGAAAGCCCCCCGAAGAGGTACTTTCGTAGAAGGAGACCCGCACCCAGGAATCAGCGAGACTACGAACTTGGATGCAAAACCGCAAAAGGCTTTATTGGAGATACGGGTACCCGGGCGACTTAGCTTCTGTGAGGC